CTGAACAGGGGGAGATGCAGGCTCTACTGTGAAGACCAACTCACAACCTAAATACCGTGCCATCAACTCTTCATAATAGTGCGAGAAAATCCAGGAAAATCCGCGACGGGACGGGATGAATGGTTGTCTATGCCCGAGAGGGCGGCCGCGAACGACCTCCCTCAGATGTACGAAAAAAGTTCCCATCTTACAGTTATTTGAAGGGAAGATGTCAGAATGAGCAAAAGGGTGAATGAAACTTTCTATGGAGACATTCAGTAATGCAAATAAAAGCTTAAGAGGAACTGAAAAAATGTATGGCTACTTCTTTCAGTTAGTTTTTTTCTTTATAATTTACCGAAGAATCCCTCCCTTGTTTAAAGGCGAAACCGACGTTAACATCTCCACGACTCGTGATTGGGTTGCATATATCACATATATCGTGATTCAATATTTTCTCAAAAGCTATTTTTCAATTGCTTCGAATCTACTCTCATGAGGAATTTCCATGAAAGAGAAAACCCAGGAGGGACAGGTTTTGAAGGAAGAAGGGAGGGGGAGAACGTGGGGAGGCTTCTCGAGGCCCCTGCCGAGTGCCGTGCCAGATCCCCTCTTCACTTTATAAAATTAGTAACTGGAATAGGGAGGGTGCGTCTAATGGGTGATGTGTTTACACTCTAGCATTTCAGTGGTCCATTCTCGTTATTTATGGGGCTGCGTTCCTCCCTGGCCTCTATGTGAGGTTATCAGCACCCAGGCCAGCGTGGGGTACTTGGGGGGGAAAAGGAAACCTCAACTGCTTCTCTTCCAACCCTATAGGGTCTATGTTTTCTGATCTTTGACTCTTCTGTCGAAGACGTGAGACGTGGAAGAAATAGGAGGAGCAGTAGATCCCATCAGCATTCTCATCCACGTCTTCTTCCTCCGTTCGCTGCATAATCTCTGAATTTTGGGGTTCTGTTCCGACTCTCTCTAGCCAAATCCAGATGTTTACCATATGCATGCACATGACAAAGAGGGAATTAGCGAGCAGGATTGAAAGATCTTTTCATGCCTCCTTTCTTCGCATGTTTGGAAGAGGAAAAGGTCTGAGACACCGATCATTGGGGAGATATAACACGAGGGGAATGTCTGAGTCGCTTAAATCCGGATAATATATCTCTAACGTAATGGAGGACTGGCATGTGATTGAACTCTCATAGAGTGCATGACAAACCAAATAGGAGTCCATGGGGAAATAGTATCATCTCCTCTCATTGAACAATGAAGAACTATTCTTCAGCTACGGAAAATTACCGCTTGAGGGATTAAGCATTCTACTAATAATCAATATTCGAAAACAGAATGAACCCATTTCTCAGTACTTGAAAACCTCTTCAGGTACTGTAGGCAGAGTGCACTCATTTTCTTGAACTTTGATGTTTTTTAGGAGGGGCAAGACCTCCTCCTTTCCAAGTTGACCCTAGACTGCTTGATGATAACTCTCTCCCACCTTCAGAGCTTCTTGACTTAATGTGAAAGAGTGTACAACATATGAGTATAGCATTTATATCTCCACACTTTAAGCTTCTGAAGGCAACGCCTAAAAAAGTAAAGGGCAGTGATGTTATTAGGGCCACCATTCCCATGCATAAGCATTTTTTGTGTCCAGACTGTGAATGGAACCTCTTCCATTTCAGTTCGAGGGACTTTCCCTCGGAGGCTTAAGGAAGCAAAATCTCATGGAATGTCACAGCGAGAAGTGAGTGGTACCCAGACAGTGGATATTGGAATGTTCGTATATTGGCAGCAAGCTAACTTTACAATAATGCATTTTATTCTCTCGTGCCACTAGCACGTGGTCCGCAACCGTGGTAGCCTTGATTTTACCGTTTGAGTTCATGGGCATCACAGTCTATCAAGTGTTTGGGATGTTCTACATTCAGAAGCTGCACTTGCTTAAAAGACAAAACGTACGGATATAATATGTTGCGCTGACCTCTTTAACAAGAGCGCAAGTTACTTTGAGACCCAGAGAAATATGCCCAGAGAAAAGCTCTATACTGGAAAAATGTTTTTTGAAGTTGAGAGAATATTATCGGAAGTCATTAGACACGCAGTTATGTGTGGGAAAGGGAATCCTGGGTGTCGTGTGCTTGAAATCGTCAGGAATCAGGTACAGCCCTACCCACTATTATTTCCCTCCTCCTGCCCTATTAGTTTTATGATTCTTTCTCCTCTCCATAAGGGTAGGGGGGAGGGAGGGGGGGAGGGGGGGTCATCGACTAGTGTACTTCCGTGGGAGCCCAGGGAAAGGTCTGACATCGGTCTCAATTGACCCTACGCATATTCTCATCATCATCATCTCCAGCCGATGTGATGTAAGAAGCCGTTTATCATCTCCCCTAAACGATACCATCGGTTTCCACCTCATTGATCATTAGCTTCTGCGACATTAACACGCCATATAGCTGCGCTCTGATGATAAGAAATGTCCCCGTGAAGTTCTTCGAAAACCATTTATGCAGCGGAACTTCCGATGCTTTCCCAATAAGAACTTACGTTTCTGGGAGGAAAGTGACGTTGGTCTTCAAATGTGCTAAAACAACGGTCGTCGATTAAAAATTGAATAGGATGTGTTGATTGTTAATGATGTAGTTGACCTTTCAGAATTCTCATGCACACCCTCATTGTTTCTTTGTAGGTCACTAGCTGCTTCTGTGGCTGGCCTCCTCCCTCCCTTTTTTTTCTCTATTCACCTGTGTGTTGATCAGTCAGAAATGCGACTTGTTGATGAAGTCCATGAACGATTACAACTCGGGGAGGTACTGAGTCAGATGATTTGGACTTCCCCTTCCTGGTTTGAGTTGACGTGTCAAGGTGTTTTCAACGTTATTCTGGCGGGGGAAGGGGGTGACGATGATTCATGCCTCGCAGTAAAAAAATGAAGGCGAGGCGTCATTTTTCAATGCATGCGCATTCTATGAAGAACTCTTGACAGACAGGTTGTCTGTACGATTGGAAGGGGAAGGGGGTGTCCAACTGTCCATGCGCTCCATTTACCTTGAAATGGACATTAATAAAAGATGAAGGCTGCCACGGTTCCCATTGCCGGTTTAGAAGGCTGATCGAACCTCACAAGCATGTGGGATGGCCGAGAACCAAGCCCAACTATCCGCATTTTCTCAGTCCCTGCGTTCTTCCCTCTTACTCTCGCCTGACTTCGAAAAAAATGCAGGGGAAGACATAGAGGATGGCCAGGAAGCCATAATGTCATAATCAGAGGGATGCACGAACTTTCAATTCAGATCTGGCCCAGAGAAGTGCATTAACAAAAGCAGGCTGTAAGAGCCTGCAGACCGAAGAGGGATGTCTTCACGTAGACTTTACAGGCTCCTCTCATCTATAATGTCATGTGCTATCCCTTCCCCCCTGCTCTTTAGTATCTGTCTCTTGTGGGATGCTTTCGAATCTCCTTTCTCCGTCCTCAAGGGCATGGCTCGCCTTCACTGACACATGCTTTCCTTGGACTTCTCCATCTACGAACCTACATCGTCAGATAACCATATAGTCTTCTTCCTCAGCAATTGAGGATTGAAATCTCATGCTAGTATCATAATTCTTAGGAAAATACAGATTTTAAAGGGGCTAATTCTCTCTTGATTCATTGTGGTTTCTCCTTCATACCTTCCATCTGCATCATCCATTCCATCTTGACTTACTGAAGTAAGCAAGTATAAAGAAAAAACAAAATTATTCAGAAGGCTCAGTGAGGTCTATGTAGGCAGACAAGGATCCATAGGCGTGACTTAGAGAGGAAGGAGAGGGGGCGTCGCCCCCTCATCAAATTGGAATAAAACAGAATAGATGAAAATGGGGAATTATTTTAAATTTTATTATTACACCAATGTTTTTCTTTTTCTTTTTTTGCAGCACATGGCCTTATACTAAAAGTACGTGAACGAAGCATAATCATTATCAGTATATCCACCTTGTTATTAATCACAACTCTCTAGCATTACAGGTCATTGGGAGTATGGGATGCACGGCCGTTCATTTTTTTGAGTGCCCCTCTTATAGGGACCTCGAGTTCCTTTGTACTACAGCTTAGAGTTACATAAAGGCAACTGAGCCGCCGTAATTGATCCCTGAATACTAACCCCACTTCTCCTTTGAAGTTGTTTCCAAGTTACGCCTATGCATGGATGCAGGCGATGCGATTCTTTCTTTTGGAAAGACGTCAATTCGGAAATCTTGCATGGAGATAACGCTTTGTTGAATTTTTAAGCATAAATTTCAAGTTTTTTTCTTTACGAGTTTTAAAAAACTTCTTTGAGAAGCAAAAACTCCCTAGAAGGTGAAGTTGGTTCCATGTCATAATTTTCGACCCTTTGCGGAACCTCATTGGGTCCAATTACATTAATGAAAAACTAGATAGTGACCTCTACTTGAAGGTTATTTGCAGGTATTACCCGTGGCTGGAAGTAACGACGCATTTTCCTAAGCATTTAAAGGGGTTAATCGGATCGAAACGGACGATATGAAATATGTGCAATGTCTCTGTCGTCTCACCCGAAGGCTATGAGTGCAGCACTTTTGTATTTGAAGACAACGCCTCTTCCCGGGTCTCCACCTTGGGTCGGAATTCGGGAACTGCCTGATGGAAGTCTTCTGTGAGATCATAACCGCTTGGTACTTGTCCCAACATTGATCCAAATGACAAGTAATTACAGGCAGCGAACTCCCTCGTGGGTACCATTTTCCCTCTGTGGGTGGTCTTTAGCATGAGAGTACATCATCCGGTGCCATGTTCCATCTCCTTCACAATACTCATCTACAGTGCGTCGTTCTTTGTTGCTCAGGTTGAATGACTTCAGGGAGGACTTCGTCGGGCGTTTATTTCTTTTTCCCTCGTTTGGCCGAGTGAATGCGGGGCTAGGAAGGAGCTCATTTGACAATTGCGAGAGCTCTTGGAAATTGAGAAGGCCTGTAACGGATGAGACGATGTTTCATAAGATCAGATTTCGAGTGCTTTCACCTAGGTCTGTCAGAATGCCGAAGGAATCAGGGTCTGGACCTGGCGAGCATACAGATGTTGGGCTGGGATCCAGATGTCGAGATGCCGGAGAGAAAGAGAAGAGGGGAGGCAGAAGTACAGGGCTTTCGGGTGGCCTATCCCAAAAACCACGACCGTCGCATCGTGGCCGACGTCTTGCATTCCATCCCGTCACGATAATCATCTTCCAATCTTGCACTGGCCGTCGAATCCAAACACTTGCCTCTTTTCACTCGAGCTCTTTCCTTCTCTTTACCTTCACCTGGATCGACCGGAATGGTTCCATATTCTTTCCGGATCTCAGAGCTCCAATTGGAGATTTTCGCGGTTGTCTGGTTCCTGCTGGTTTCATTCCGGATCCTTCTTCGATATTCCTCGGGTGTAAATCACTGAAATCCCAGTAGTAGGCCCGGTGAGGAGGGGGTCATTGTTCTGTAGGTCTACCCTATATTTTTCTCTTCACTGGGCTTTTAATGCGTGGAAGATGAATGGGAACTATGATTCCCTGCAATGTGGTAGCTATGTCGCGGGGAAAGGTCACACCACTTCCCACACCTCTGTTTACATGCAGGCAGCGGTAGCTTCCCTGCTCAATTAGCCACGGCAAATTCCCTCTCCTTCAAGGCACCATTGGGGGGTCTCGGCAACGTCTTCTCCCCCCACAGCATGAGACGTAACAGCCAGTGTATAATGCCTGCTTTATTTGCATGTTCCCCTCCTCATTAAGATCCTTTCTATGGGGATGTGAAGAGTCACACAAAGCAAGCAGGCGACAGCATTCCGTTCGAGCGTGGTATAGGCCAGTGATAAAAGGCGTGCGGCGAGGGAAAGGCCGTGTTCATTCCGGCTCTTTACCAATGGAATGAATGAGGCGCGGTGACGTCATGGTCAGGCACCAGTCCTCGGTGACTGGACGTGTCCCTCATTAATTATGCTGCCCGAGCGAGGCTTTTGTAGGCGGAGTTGGAGCCTGTAGTGGACACAGATTCTCCCCTTCCCTTTTTTCCCCTGCCAGTCGGAGAAAGGAGGCTGCGATCTCGTGGCGCCATTTCTCTTACTCCGCTCCGGCCTCTCCACTCGAGAGGAACGCTATCACCCATATCGCATTAATAATGATATTATTGCGTCAATCTCACAAAGAACAAGAAAGATTGATTTATGGTCTGTCTCACTGCCTCAGGTATGCGGAACATTGTCATCTCCAGCCCAATATTTCATTCTGGTTCACAATCGTCAATTTGACTATCAGTCCACAGGACTCCTAGCAATGACGCAAAGCTGTTTTCCATTTCCTTGTTCATGGATTTAGCAAGAACGAGGCCTTGCAAAGATTACAGGCCTGCCTCGAGAAGCGACAGTCTGTCTCAGGGCCTCAGAATGAAGAGAACTTTCAGAAGCGACGGATATGCTATAGTATCCGTTCTTGGCGTTCAATCTTCCCTCTACTCCTTTACCGTGTATCGATAGGCATAAGTGGAGTAATATTTCCGTGCCATACACTTGCATTAATTTCAAATTCCAGCCAAGTGAAAATTGCAAAGGACAGAACATCAGATATGCAATTCATTATGATTACGCTGTTACACGGCGGAGAAAAATCTGATCTGTGGCGCTTTGAACGGGATGGGGAGTATGAGCAACGGTAGTTATAGTAGTTGTAATCTACGACGGTCCCTTCAACCGTCCATTATGAAATTATGCAGGATTTCTATCCTTTATCACGGTACGTAGATATGTAGAGTCCGATTAACCTATGATCCGAATCGTGTTTGTTGCCAATGCGGAGACGTATACAACGGGTACACTTAAAGCAATATAGTCTAAGAAACAGTTATGACTCACGGACATGGGTCTAGGAGATATAATTAGCCGACATGCATTCTGTACTTTATTCTGCAGTCATTCTCAGGTATAGTTAATTGCGGCGACTTAACAACGTTATAATGAGTAGTGCGAAGAGCACAGAAGTACTGGTACTCAGTCATCTTTTCAGCACCGTTGTTTCGGGTTTTCTTGACATCACAGAGGCTCGTAGGTAAGAACATGGGCCACCCTTTCCCTCTAATATTCCTGGAAGGGAGGAAGGGAACGTGCGGTAGCCCCCTTGGGCGTAATGTTCCTTTTTAACGGCAATTTCCTGCTCGGATCGCGACCGCTGTTAAGAGTGAATCCAAACAGCAGCAGGAATCCCGGCTGACCTTCGCACCATCAGGTCCTCTTCGGCGATTAGGGAGGCGTGAAGTACAGTTGTACGAGGCACTGACTTTCTAATTAAAAGCAGCGCAGGATGGGCCTGGGTTATGGGAATATGCCCCTACCAGTGGCACGGGGCGTGTGAGACGGGAAAGAACATCTTCACGCATGCAGGGCCGAGGGGCCTCTCCAGCCAAAGACCCTTCGGCCCTCCAGGCGTCCTTATCCCCTTCGCCATCCGTCTACCCTGTCCGCGCATAAAACCGTGCACAACTTTTCGCACCGAGCAAAGGGCGTAATGATAACGTATCCCCTTGCTCGTTTCTTTCTTCCACGTTCAGTCTCCTTATGATCTCTTCTTTGACGCGTAGATACGTACTCTTCTATCAATTTTGCTGGCTGGTTTTAGTACTTCGGAAGAAGAAAAAAAAAGCGATGCGTGTGCAGGAATGGAGTCTCATTAGATCAGGCTGTCTTATATCCTTCAAGGATCAGAGTAGTGACGTGTTTATATAAATGGAACTCGACAACTTCTTCCGCTTGACCCTTCCTGGATGCTGCATAGGGCTAATCGTGTCTATGACATCTCCTTGAACCTCTTCTCGAAATCTTATCCCAGCGTTGATGTGCGCGATGAAGTGATCACCAAGAGCACGCGACTGATTCCTGTCTCTGTGATATGTTGATCTCATATGGATGTCGAATAAGCTCCAGAAAAGTATCATTGCGCAGTAATCAAGAGTTGAGAAGAAGAGTCCTGCCCATTTCTCTCTGCAAAAAAATGCGCCTGAAGTATTATTCTGACCACTTGCTGTGTAATGGCCAATGTTTTATGCAAATGATTAAAAAAAAATTGGAATGTTCCCAAATGTGGGCAGCGAGAGATGGGTTTTGACGTCAACCCTCCTCCCTGTCGAGGACGAAAGCGTAAGGAGAGTGGCAGTGGAAGAAATAAGAAAGGAGAAGAAAAGAAGGGAGCATGGGGAAGTTGGAGGTCTTGGTCTCCCAGTGTGAAGAAGGCAGGTGGATGATGGACGAGGTGCAAAGGCCTATCAACACCTCATTCGGATGTCGGCTCCCTCATGCTGTCCTGCTAGGATTTATTCTCGCTACCCGACCGCGAATCCAATGCCTTTTTTTCCGCATGTCCCTGCGTGTTTTCACCCATGCAGCGGCCAACCTAGTTGATGAGGTTGAGGCCAGCGCACTTCCTCTCACCTTATCACAACTACGGAGGAAACTCTATAATTTTATTTTAATGTCTTCATCGTGACGTCACACGAGCCACCAACCGTATTATCACAAAGGTGTTATTGCCATTCAGAAAAGCCGTCGCGATTCCTGAATTTGTAGTGAGAGTCGACTACAGGTCCATATAATTTTTGTTCGTTCTATTCCACAGGGAAGAAGTGGCGAAGCTTGACACCGCAAGACAGACGTCCGTATGTAGAAGAAGCAGAAAGACTTCGTCTCCTTCATATGCAGCAGCATCCCAATTACAAGTACCGACCTCGGAGGAAGAAACACGCGAAACGTGGTGGTCGGAGAGATGGTGTTCCGGACCGCTTTCAACCGCCATCTCCGAACCCGTTCCTGTCCTGCTCTATATCTGGGACCGGAATGGGGAATTACCCCTTCAAGTCGAATGGGGTTCATCCGCCTGAGATTCATACGCCGGAATCTTCGCCCCGAGAAAGTCCCGAGCCGGATGCTTTGAAGAATCGCTTCCTCAATTCTTATCTTCCTCCGCCGGCCACTCCGTCATTGCCAACACCAGACGTGTCTCCTTTGGAGACGGAGCGAGATGCATTCAACAACGACCGGGTATCTCACCTGTTGCAACGCTTCGTCCCGAATTCCTCCGACACATATATGAAGTGTTTCTCGCCCTCTCCCGCATCGCCATATCGGAACTCCTATCAGCCAATGAGAGGATCGCCTCCTGTGTCTTCTTCGTTGACCACAGTGTCAAGCGATTGCACGAGCGGAGGGACCTACTCCGAAGTGATCTATTATTCTCCTAATTGTGCCCTGGGCGGAGGAGCCTCTAATTGTCCGCAAAACAGCCTCTACCCGGCAGTCTCCGAGTCTGTGACCGCATCTATCGATAGTTACTCCGGTAAGTTCAGCCTTCATTTTTCGTGTTCCGTACCCTCTGTAAGAAGACAGCTGAGTAACATTCGAACAACAGGGGGTTCTCGTTCAGGATTTCGAAAAGTGAGAAATATTTATCCCGAGGCGTAGCTCGAAAAGTTTAGACAGATGTTCTTGCCGGAATCTTGTATTTACAAGGTGTCCCGATTCTCTTCCCCTGATATATTCCCGGTTGTCCCTTATGTTTCTGTCGATTTACACACCCTGAAGGAAACGATACCAAGAATGATGATAATGGCTCAATCATTTTGACATCTTTACGAATGCTCAACCAGGATCTTGGGGCAGTGAAGTGCCTCAAGCTAATTCCATCACCTCTCTAATGGCATCTTAATTGTGTCAGTGCATCCTCCTGCGACGCAAGGGCTGTGTGACTACATCAATGCTCAGGAAGAGTCAGTCACTCTCTCGCCAAATGAAGTAAATATCACAGAGTAAACATGTGCTTGAAAAGGATAGCGGAAGGATAATGAAAGTGACTTGGAATCTGAGTAATAGGTACCAACAGTCAACCTTATTATCCTCTGAAATCTAAAAAATGTGCCGTATAAAGACTAAGGACCTTTAAGGACGGTAATGAACGAAAAACCTGGAGCCCTTAACGCTAAAAAAAAAAAAAAATTGAACCGTGCGCGAGGGAAGTTTTGGGATTTTAGTTACTTTCTGTGAATTTAGCATGCATACTTTAAAGTGGACTCCCTTTGCTGGGGAAAGAATTACAAAAAAAAGAGGGTGCTGGTCCCCTGATCCATACCTCTCCTCAGACAATGCAGCATGCCGCCCGAGAACATTATTTTCCTGGATGTTCGTTGCAGCTATGTTGTACGAGGCCCGTAAGGTTTGAGCCACTAAAATATGAACTTGAGAATCTGGAGACCCAGTGTATTTGTGTCCCAAGATTCAGCAAGTTTAGTTTCAATTTATCTAGGTTTTTAAGGCAATGTAAAGGTGGCAGTACTCTAATTTTTTGTTAATTTTTAATCTAATTTTTGTTGTTTGTGGTAAGGTCACTCTCCAGTTACTTTGGGGTCATATTTTATAAGGCTACATTTCCGTAACTTTTGAGTCATATTTCCAGTGAAGCTTGAGTAAAAAAAAATCCTGGGGTCGGATGACCTCTCGTTGTATAAACACGACACATCTCTCGGGGGTTTTAACGGTCATATCCGAAAAAGCTGCTGACCATGTGTGGCTTGAAAGATATCCGGGTTGCCTACCTCAAACAAGATTCTCTCTCTCTCTCCCCTATACTTGATGCCTGTATGCATTGAACGAAGCACCATCAGTGCCCCGCTCATTGAATACCCCTGCTGGGCTGCAGAGAGGCGTCTCATCAAATGCTCGCAGCATGTTGCACCGAGCGCTGAATCATTCTGTGAAAATCGGGTATGGTTGCAATATGAGATTTTGGATCTGCCCAGTGAAAGTCAGTGTCATTCTGACTTAGCTCACACGATCATTACGCGAGGTCATCGATTTTCCTGGCCGCCGCCTCTTTTTTGTGGCATCATAGTATCGACGAAGGGAGATATAGGGGCTATAGGAGGGTGAGAGGTGAGATTCAGGAGAGCAGGGATTGCGAGGCAGAACCAGGCATGTGGCAGTTGTTCTTGAAAAATAGGCTTCCTGCCAGGAAGATTGTGGAGGCATTTGTTAAAATGTCTCCTCGAGAGGGGAGGCTGAGGGCACTTTAACATTACTTACCCCTTTCTGGTGTCTCCGTGAGTTGGGGCTTCACACGATGTCTCTCGCATTCTCAATGACTTCGGCCACAACCCTGCCGTGGCCCGCAAAGCATCTCTCTTCCTCCGCCCCTCTTCCATCTATACCAGATCTGTACATGGGCCTGTAGGCCCTTGTACAGATTTGGTATAGATGGAAGTCTGGTAGTCCCGCAGAGGTGTGAGATGGAATGAGTCTTGGAATGAATTCGTGATTAAATAATATTCTTCGTCACGATTGGAAATTATATGTTGTAATTCACTTCTGATATTTTTTGTTGACAACGTAGGAGCTGGCGGAACTCCTCCTCGCCCGATGTCCAACCCCACGGGTATGATGTCCTCACAACAGCACCAGCAACACCAGCAGCAGCCTCAAGTGGTAGAAGATTTTCTGGACGATGTAGACCGGAACGAATTCGACAGGTACCTGAAAGGGAGTCGAATCGGACTTCCATCGTCCCCGATGTCGACCAGTGGCAGTAGGTGCGATTTTGGAAGCCAGGGTCCATACGGAAGCCCTTCATCAGGAACGAGAAATAACAGCGAAGACGCAGGACAAAGCCCAAGTCTCATTTCAGAAGCCCTGGCTCATGTCAGAGGCCTCATGTACTACGACAGCTAGGGAAGAAGAGCAAAGCTAACCACTCCAACCACCGATAGAGCTTTCATTTCCATGTGCCTTCTCCGTGTGTCTTAGGAGTTTTATAGTTGGGATCATGGCGACAGATGCAAAGGAGACTTCTCTCCCATGGCGTCAACCATGCTGAGGGAAATACCGCTAGTCTGCGGGACCAATACGCTTTAAATTTATCCCATTAAGTGCGCTGGTTTTGGATGTCTGCGAACCCTTCGAAGTGAGATCCTCGTGTCGCGAATCTGGAGGATGAAGAAACGGTGAAAATTTTCTTTTTCAATGAGAGCTCCCATATTCCTTCATCTCGAAGGTTTCCTCTTATTCGTATTCAGGTACCCCTATGTTATCCACTTTGGAATCGCGTTTATTCTTCTATGTCTCACGATGCCTTCGGGATCTGGAGATGCATACATGTGATTCCTTAGGCTCTTGATGTACGTCTTATGGAAATGGTGGAAAATCTCGGAAGTCTCTCTCGCGTCATTCTTGCAGTGCCTTATTACTCAAGCTTGTACCAGACCGTGTCCCAGTGATGATAAGGAAATATTTCACTGCTGTTGAATGCCTTCAACAGCCTCGTAAGTCATACAGGTGCTATGACTTCCAAGTGATCATTCCCTCCACGTGTATCTTTTGTTCTTGGATGTTCCTTTCCTTCGCTTACGTGCAATGCCAGAGTATGAACCCCTCTATCGCTATCATGATCTGAGAGATTTTGTACATACCAGACGTACAAACATGAATTTTTTTTATTTAACCGAATTTCTACTGTATATTTTTTTCCCTGAAGTTACAGATATATATGCTGGAAACGAATAGTGCTGTTTCTTTAATGCCTACACTTTTCTATTTTCCCTGCACAAAGATGGATTCATAAATGCGACTACTTTCTTATTTAGTCACTGCCTTATGTCATTGGGGACCAGAGCATCGAATCGAGTTGCAACCTCCCGCTGCGCACTGATAAGTGATAGAGATCTGCAGCCCAACCCCGATCGTTGTCTGCATGTTTACGCGATAAAGTGCGCGGTGACGTGGTTGGATCCCTTGGGACAGGTCATGCTTCAAAATTCCTACCAATTGTCAGTTATGGATGGGCCAAGGATGATGAATCCCCGCGCCATCGTGTGGGGTGCAGGGGGACGGGGCACCCCACAGGGACCCTAAGGGACACCTCTGGTGACAAATGCCTCCAACTCCACCCCCACACCATACAAACACGGTATCTTCATCCTGCAGGCTACCCCATGATTCTGCCTGCACGTGAACCTCATTCCCGTCCTTCCTCAGGTCATGGAGTCCCTGGAGTGATGGGACGACTGAAGATTGTCCCCCACTGTTTCTTACGCGTGACGATAGCAGCTCCACATCATTGGAGTATACCTCAATATAAAGCGATCGATTGCTTGAATTTATCCCATTTTAGCAAAGACTGCAAGTAATGCTAGTGAAAACTAATCGTTTTGCAGGAATGTGCTTATAATTCTCAAGTTCGATATATTTTTTGCTCTGGTTAGGAATTTCGAAACTGTTCTTATGTAACCGTTGTCATGGAGACAAAAGAGATGGAGGATATAAATATTTTCAGATTGTGTTCCCCGCCTTCATTCCATCCTCTAGCCACGGTGCTGGCATTGATAGTAGGAATGAGATACAGAATCGTGACGTGTTTCCAGTCGAACCGAGAGATAACAAGTAGCAATGTCATTGCGAGAATCGAAGGGTGACTGTCGTTGAGACACGGTTGTTTTTTTTCTGCTCCTCGTCTGTGTCTCACGAGATGCTTGTCAGAGAAGCAGGGATGACGACCCAATTCTGCTGGCTCATATGCACACGCAGACAGAAGCGTAGAAATGAATTTTCTGCTCCTCCCAGTCCGCCTGACTACGCCTGCTAAGATAAATGGATGCTCCCCGGAGTCGTGGGGTCTTTGCTTCTCTTGACGCATCACGCTCAACACGCCTACGTATTTCCGCAAAGCAAAAATTCACTTGCAATACGCCTACCTCGCACGATGTCTCGTCGACACAAGAACCTTGAAGTGGACCCGATCACCTCAGCTCTCAAACTCCCCGGATTGATGGTCCCACGAGAGGAGTCGACAAAGCAGTAAACTTCTCGTCGGATACAAACCGGCTTCCGTTTCGGTTCCTGTTTAACGGGAATGCGGGAAAGGATTTCGAAATCATGATAAATATATTTCGAGACGTTGGTTGCGTATTTCCGACCCAGAAGTGACAACGAAATGAGTTCGGGGTCACATCCCAAGTGAGAAAGGATTATTGCAATGTATTGAGAAGCGTAATTGGGTGACCCATTGGTGGGGACTTTCATGATCTTACTAATCTTTGCTCTCACATGTAATTGCTGAGTGCACGACCTCTTCTAATGACGGATGGATCCAACGTTCATTAAATCGTGACAAACACAGCCGTGATTTATGGAGTGTTGTCATTAATCAGGCGAAGTTTCTCATCAAAGTGATTACGGGTGGAGTGTTCTAATGAATCCTCTCCCTCTGCCAGTCCATAAATACAATGCCACTGCGGTTCGGTCCGGGAAAAAGGAATGAGGCCAGAAAGAGGATAGGGTGCATGCACGAGCCTTACCTTCCGTTTCGACTGCATTCCGGGCCTCGGTTGAATCCTGCGAGATTTATGGCCAAGAGAAGAGTCACGTCTCGAAAGCCAGACGTGAGTGGCCAAGGAGTCTGCTTAAAGACCCGTGAGAGAATAATAAGGACTGAAGGCTGTATTATTCCTCTTTAGTCATGGACGGGGTTTGGCTGACTGACTGAATGACGGCATGCGTACATGCATGTCTGCATGGGCGGAGCCATCGGTCCTTTCCATCATCAATAGCTCACCAAAGCGGGGAGGATTTCTCCATTTGGAAGCTCAGGGCCTTTCGATTCCTTATCGAGTTCTTCCTCATTTTTCCCTTCCCCTTCGTGTCGCCCAGACGTCCTCGAGAGCTTGAATAGGTATGCCAGGGATATCCCGAAGAGCCATCAGTATGGAGAGCGGGATGCATCATCCTTCTCGACGGAAATTACACATACCGTGTAGAAGCATGTGTCGAAGGCTGTTCTCAACCTTCATCCAAGGTCTAAAGGTTGAGAACAGCCTTCACAAACGGCCCTGTGTCGTCGGCACTTCTTTCCTCTTTTTTTTTCAAAATAAGTACAAAGTTTTTTTTTTCACGCGAGAACGGCATCCACGCATCGGTCGGGTTGGAATTGAAACACTTTCACTTTTCCGAGACATGCGAACCAATAAGAAGCACGCGTTTTACCGAAAATGCTTCAATTGTTCAGCTTCAAGTCCCGCCTTACTCTTGATTCTCTCCCGAGTCTTCTCGAACCTGAAATAGATATCTGTGAGCGTTCCTTGCCATAATAAACACGATCGAGTCTCGAGGAGGATGACAACAGATGGGAGGTGTCCAGAGGCTCATGAACGGCCTTGGAGAAGAAAGGGGCATAGGGGTGAAGTGCGGGAAATTGATCTCTTTTAGTCCAGCGAGTAGGTCATGATTTCCGGTGTGCCATTATGATTCTGCCGGAGTCTTGAAATGGTGTGATGGGACTCCATCGGAAGTCTGGGGTGCCCTTCTGCCCCCCGCTTCGTTATTGCTTCATATCTTCCCTTAATGGACTCACTTCTGCTTCCTCTTCGTCGATTGGCATTTTTTATTTGCCTCCCCAGGTTCTGTCTTGTAGAGCGCAGATTTCCCATCGCCTAGCTTTCACGGCAAATGCGACTCAAAAAGACCGTGGGGTGTGCGTGTCCTTGAAAAATGTCTCTCGAAGGATTCTTCGGTTGGAAAGCGAAACTACGAGACCCGGTAAGACTCATGCTTGGTCTGCGTCTCACACCAAAACCGTAATGACACACGAGTTTGACAGCTCTATATATCACTCAGTTATCTGGTTTCATCGAAACATGCCATTTAATCTGGCATCGCGGCCGCGGAGAGGAGCTGTTTGCCTGCTTGGACTTCTTATCTCTTGGGCAACGTGACCGGAATCGAGTCCAAGACATTCGTCCCAATATTTCACGACTGGAGGAGAACGGACGCATTTTTTTATCTTTCCCATCGCATCGGTCACTTCTCAAATTGCCCCATAAAAATAATCTGGCCCCACGTCGTTGTTGCTTCTGGGCTGCAGAGCCTCAGGAATGTTCGGTAAACAAAAGTGCGTGAACCGGGTCTCGGGCCGGCTGGTCCTGGGGGGCGGCATCTCTTTTCCTCCCTCTTTTCTGTGGGTGCACCTTTCTCCCCTTCAACCGCTTATGGGCAATCTTCATTTATGACCACGTGGGCCTTCCATTGCACCCTTGTTTGTCCGTGTCGGGAGACAAAGGCTCCTTGCACCACTATATGAGCTACGAGGCTAAATGCGGCGAAGAAAATCAGAGGTTTTCACGGTCATGGAAAATCTCGGGAGGGGCAATGGTTCCCATGATTAAAGACACGAATAGCAAGACACGAAGTAAGGTCATGCTTATGGTTATTTGAGCCAAGTGGAATACAGGTCGGATGGAAAATTTTTCAGAAAGCGTCCATAGATGTATCCTGCATGGACGTAAATCCGGTTGAGCTGCTTCGGACACCCGATCTTGACACATATTATGTCCATCGAAGTATTATACTTAAAGTACTTTATCTACTATCATAACGCAAGATGAATTTAATTTCTTCCTTAAGTACATTTTCAATTACTTGTAGAAGTAAAGAAAGACTTTTGCAATCCAAGCTCCATGCCCACAGAAGACCAAGAAAGCACACATGACTTCAAGTACATTCGTGACTGATCCACCAAAATTTCGTCGCGAGACTTACCTGACTTGTAACTTGGGCTGAGGTGTCATATCAGAGGGAGTGGAGTTCGACCATTTCACGTATTTTCTTTTTAAGACTTTGAAGCCTTGAATTAAATTTCAAAATAGCTGATAACTAAATAGCGTAGGCCCGGGCAACTAGGCGAACTTAAATTCGGTCACTATCTGAAAACTGACTGCATAACAGGACAGCTCACGAAACAGTTTCATAACAAGTAAAAATAAGTTATCAATATGATGGGTTGAGGTTATGGTGGGTTTGGTTTAAATGTTTACTTTTCCAAGAAAAGCTGCGCCTCTAGGGCTTGTTCACTCTGTAAAGGGTACTCTCGCGTATAAATTTTTTTCCTTCCGAGAAGCCTGAGGAAACTGAATTTCCTTCTTCGTGTTTTTAGCCAGGTTGTTGTTATTTGTTGCTTGGGTTGCTTGCAAGCTTTTTCTTTTCCTTGGGATCGATGGTCGTGTTGGGGGTTCTGGCTTCTATTGCACGGGAGTAACCGAACTGCAGCTCTGGGGGCAACAGGATCCTTATACTATTTTCTGCTGCTTTCTCCTCTTCTGAGAAAGACCAGACAATGGTCTCTCCTCTCTTCTCAGTGAAAACGAGCAACTCGTCTGTAACGTGAATTCCGCTGGGGAAATCTCTCTACTGCCACATAACCCAGTGTGGGAGAGAA